TATTTATTCTTTATTTTTAACAAACAGAACAGATACTATTGGTATTGTAAGGGGACTACAATTTGTTATTTTCAGGAGGATTTTTTTTGGCGGATTGAATATTCATATCCATCTGTTGCTTAGCACTCTCTATTTTTTGACGCGCTCTGCCGCGCGAAACTTATTTTTACTTTTGTACAAAATTATATATATTGTGTGCCAGAATATTTATTTTCATCTGTTTTGGGCATTTTGGGCCAGATTATTTATTTTCAGCCCTCCTCCCCCCTAAAAATTTCAAATAGAAGTCCCCTTAGATAGATATGTCAGGTACAAAATACGATAGATAAATAAAAACTATCAAGCATATTGGAGAGTGGGTGTATTAAAAGCTAGAAATTTTTGGGGTTTATTTAAAATAATGTTTTTAGACGATTACTATACATAAGCGCTTGAGTATAAGATTTGGATATTTTTCGCACTGTTTTCACTGAACACTCAATTTTCTATTTTTATACCACATATATCAAGGGGTTTTTAAGCATGGTTAGTAAAATACAAGATATTTTCACAGTAGATAAATGCAATCAAAACAAGTTAAGGCAAGCTGAGTAGTGTTCAGTATGTGGTATACAAAAAGAAAAAAAATAATATTTGGTGCAAACAATCAAAAACAAAATGCCTCAGGTTCAGTTCCAGGATTTTTGAAAGGGAGGGCGTAATTGCCGATAAGTCAATATAACGAGCGAAGCGAGACAAAAATTGTTTTGGGCGATTTTATACAAAAAATTATATATATCGTGAAAAACATTGAGTGTTTTTTGTGATGAAAGGGGGCGGGGATGGGACGAATGCATTATAAGGTCCCCTTGGATCCGCCACTGAATCTTGTACCCAAGTGCCTGTTTATAAGTTAGACAATACTTGTACAAGCAAGATACACTCTATGAAGTGCTCACGACAATTAAAAAGTAAATTAGCCACTGAGTTTTTATTGTCTATTTTACAGCATTTTATAGAGAATTCATTGCTTAGAAGAACTATAACTAAATGAAGGTTTAGCTCTATTTTATTAAATGGTTGAACATAGTAGTGGAATAAAGATAATACAATTATACTCTTAAATTATTTAAATAATATAACTTGATCAATCATTGTCGTAAAACAATGAATGCATTCTTGTTTGAGTGTTGGATCAAGGCTAAGCCTTTGTCGGGTAAAATATTTAACTGACTTTTGATTGATTTTAGTTAGCCTTGATTCAACACTCAAACAAGAATGCATTCATTGTTTTACGACAATGATTGATCAAGTTATATTATTTAAATAATTTAAGAGTATAATTGTATTATCTTTATTCCACTACTATGTTCAACCATTTAATAAAACAGAGCAAAACCTTCATTTAGTTAGCACAAAGCACGATTTGTAAGGCCAGAATACACTACATGAAACAAGATATGAGCACCAGGGAAATGGTACAAAGTCGAGATTTCCCAATAGAAACAGAAACGCGTCTGTGTTGTTTGATATATTTTAAAAATTTCCTCGTTCTGAGAAATTTGACACTCTTATATTTACCATAAAGTATTAAAAAAGGAAATATAGTGATATTTTCAATAGAAAAGGGGGTTATTGTTTGTTTGTATTATGCTTCATTGACAAATATTAATTTTATTGATCGTGGTATACAATTTGTTTTTGGAAAATAAATGCTTCTAAATATTCAACGTACTTGAATCAGCTTAATCTCTGGAAATTTGGTGAGAAGAAACCAAGGAAGAAATCTAAATCTAAAAAAAGAGAGAAAAAAACCGACTGATTTGACAGTTCGGAAGTGAAAGATACAACAAACAAATGATTATTCACAAAACACTAGACTAAATGGCACAAAGGCAAATAAACTCGCTCCGAAAGGTTTAGCAGTTCCTGGTTGGTATCTATTGATAACTAGTGCATGGTATCTGTCGGTGGAAAAATTACGTTCGTATTTGCAGCACCAAGAATTATTTTGCCAAAAGTGATTTATGCTATTTTTTATTTTTTGTTGTTGTTTCATTTAGTTTGTTTTTCATTTTGGAGACATTAACCAATTGGACGGCAAATCCCGATTAAAATTACAAACAACCTTTTTGGAACCCGGGCGTTTAAGAGCTTTTTAGTTTTAAAAATTGTGTCCGATGACCCTGCTTGCCAAACCAACATAGCCGCCATGGATAAAACAGAACATAGGGATAAGATGCAAGTTTTGTCTGTTATCTTGAAAACTGCTATAGATAGAGAAAATCCGATAGGGACAAAAATGTTCAGAATGTTAATATTTGCATATTGTCTGTTTACATCAAAACTGTCAGACAACTTCTTAAAGGAGTTATTGCCCTTGAATGGTGATTTTACCATGTTTGCCTAATATCTTAAAAAACTATATTAGATAGGGAGAAACTTAACATAGCAAAAATGACCAGCAAGACAAGATCTACAATTGAGTCGGACTGCTGAAATCGTCAGATTTTTGGAGTTTTTGTCCATTAATGACGATTTTACCAATTTTTTGCGTTTTTGCCTGATATCTTAACAACTATAATAGATAGATAGACACTTAAATAAGCAAAAATTATCAACAAGACAAGATCTACTATTAAATCAAATGGGGAAACTACGAAAGATATATAGTCACCTTAAATAGCAGAGACGATCAGCAAGACAAGATCTACCTCACATGTTGCCGAAATCATTAGTAAACACTTTATCAGAGTTATTGCCCTTCTAAAAAAAAATTCTATTTTTTCACATGTGTTATCCATGTTCAGTATACCTGGTCATTATCAAGGCAATAACATAAATAAATGTTATAAAATGAAATTGATGAAATTGATGAAATGAGAGATCGAATGGGACACATATCGAAAACATTTATTTGACTATATACATTAGGCAATATGTGGCAAGTTAGGTTAGGTAGGAATATTCAGTCTCTGCATTGACCCTTAATGTTCCTACTATCAATGAACTATGCTGGAGGGGACTTTCCGTGTTAGGAGCATGACACTTTGCTAACGCTAGCCATTTTAAGTCCATTCTGAAGGACGTGTTATTTTTCAAATCACATTCTTATGTACTCATCTTTGACATGTACGTACTATTTTCCGGCGCTGTTTATTTCATGGTTAAACGACCATTTTCGGTCAAAAGTGTATAAATAACATTTATGTCATCTCTGTCAATTTATAATTGACATGAGTGGTATACGCATATGAGACGGAAACCCAATGATATAAAGTTGCCAAAGACAGGAATTATCAATGTTCTACTCCTTGTGAAAGGGAACTCAAATTCTAAAAACGTCCGGTAAGAATCGATCTCTGATCATCCATGACCCAAGGTCATTATTACCGAAAATGTCTTCGTCATAGATGTATATTTCACCGAATAAATTTGCATGACAATTCTTCTTTCGTTTTATTACCGCCGAATGTTCAAATCGCCAGCCATTGAATGCAATCGGCAAACCTCGGCAAATTCGATCGAATGCCATAGAATGTTATGATCCGTTTGAAGAAAATAAACTGTTTGATGACTATGAAAACGACCATCATAATATCATGAACATGGAAATAACATGACCTATCCAATTTGAATCAGATTTAGTTAGAAGAAGTGGGGGTTCCTCTTAATAACAGGAACATGAAAATAACATGACCTATCCAATTTGAATCAGATTTAGTTGGAAAAAAGAGGGGGTTTAGAATGAATAGTTGGAATTCAGTAGTAAATAAGAAATCGATAATGGACTTTTGGTATGTGTGTAGTTAACACAAGAAACAAAGGCCAGTCACTTTTGTATAATAGTGATGAGCACCATAATCCCTGTCATTCATTTGTATCTTAATATAGAAGACAATGGCATGATGTCATCCCCTTTGTCTAGGAAACGTATATGTTTAAAATCTGAGGTCGTATGGAATGAGTTTTACAAAAGTCCCAAGGTCATGCCTCTAGTAAACAAAATTTCTAAAACAAATAAGAAAAGGAGGAGGATTGTTGGTCATTGTATTATTTCATTTACAAAGGGGGTTAATACATATAATTATCCTGGACAAAGGAAGATGACCTAGGGTTATTGTGTTTTAAATATCCAGGACAAAGGAATATAACCTCTGTATTTTCTTTAACATCAGTAAAGAAAGACAGACGACTTAGACGTGTTCTGCATTGATATAAAAAGGGAGTGTACCTCGAGGCATTGCTTTCGGCAAGAGTGTCAAATATAGGTTCAAAACAGTTATTTCGTAGTGCATTTCTTTTAGACAATAAAGTCAAATTAAAAAAATCGTACCGGCTCTATCTCAAACAGATTTTTACAGTGTAGTGTACTTCAATTGGGACGAATAATATCAAAATTATAGAAAAGTCTACCAGCTCTAAATCAAAATATTGACAATTCTATGTTAAGGGGGTCAAATATTCAGGTTGACAGCTTCAGACATACTAGTTTTTGACCTTTTTAACCGGACCAAATCACTACTTAACATAAAGATTCAGCAACCAAATTTTTTTAACTTGTAATTTCATCCCCTTACTTAATATTTCACGCATAAAATATAAAGAAATAAATTTGGAATGTGTATGAAAAAAATTTGCAAGTTATACACTGTCCACACTAGGGACTATATTTGCTATATTTGTAGACAACGAAAATCTAAGGACCATAACTGTGTCCTCGGACCTATTATACATGGATGACCTTAGTTTAATTCTTACCGGAAGTCTTGATAATGTGCCAAGGGAATTAAATACCGTGATCGGATATGCCGTTATTCGACGTAGTGGCGTAGTTCGTTCTTTCATTTTATTTTTTTGTGAGTATGACCTCCTATAACGTTTTATTACGGTGAACTACTAAGCAAACTCTTAATGCTAACGTTATGCTTTACCATGACTTTTTTTCTATATTGCACTTACCAAATAAACAATATTTTTTTCAGACAAAGACGTAAAAAATGCAATCGACAACAATATCGATGACATACGCATCAATAACTGAGAATGTGACAGCTAATATAACTTCGGACAACGGTACAACAGCATCGTCGGAAAAAGCACTATCTCTTTTGGATCAACTAAATGAATATGCGGAATTTAGAGCTGCCGTTGTTATCAATAATTATTATCTTTATGTTTTATGTGCGTTAGGAATTCCTGGTAGCGCATGCGCGCTCATTACAATATGTCGCATGAAACCTCTCACATCATCATCTGTTTACATGGCGATGCTATCCTTTGTTGACGCCATGAATCTCGTTTTCAAATTGTTATACTTGCTTCTTACACTGTATGATGTCCGACTATTCGATAATGGTTGTAGAACAATGTTCTTTCTCGGAACATTTTTAATGCACTATTCTAATTGGCTGTTAGTATCAATGACGGTTGAAAGATTTATTGCGATTTGGTTTCCGTTGCAAGTCACAAAGCTATGCACTAAGAGACGAGCCTTAATCAATATGATAGTTTTGGCAATTTTACTTATGGCACTTAACTTTCAATTCTACTGGACAACCATTGAGATACCCCATAAGGTTTACGTGTGGCAGTGTTCTTTCGTGGATGAATACGTGCATTTCATCAAAAAGATATGGTACTGGATAGATGGCGCTGCTTACAGCATAGTACCTTTTATACTACTTTTGATATTTAATACGATGATAATTCTTGGAATAAAAATGGCGTCTAGCAAACAAAGGATGTTGACCAATAAAATTGACAAAACACAAAATACCGATAAGATTAAACATCAACAACAAATAACTATAATGTTAGTGAGTATCTCTGTTGTTTTTATTATATTGACCCTGCCTAACTGTGCTTTTTTCATCATGCAAGACTATTGGGATTACAAACAAGATGTCCATACGTATGCACAATACTTTTTGGTGTATAATATCGTATTTTTCCTGTCAGATCTTAACCATGCTATTAATTTCTATATGTATTTTCTCAGTGGTCGTAAATTCAGGACGATGTTTATAAACATGATTTGTTGCTGCAGAAAGAAACCACTCCGTCGGCCATATTCGACAACAATGACTCAGATGAGTTCGGTGTCAATGCGCAATGGTTCGACATACAACAGTACATTATCCTCTCAACAGAGCATTCTGAAAAACTCTGCAAATGGAACAGCTAATGGAAGTCAATCTACTGTAAATACAATTGCTTAAGACTTCTTAATGTACAATTAGAACTTGATTTGTGTCTTAGTAACTTGACAAATACTAATTTAGGGTGCATTGGTATGTACGTACGTTCAATTTTAGTTTTTTCCCTTTCTATTGGGTCATTTCATTACTTATGAGGGTCTGGATAAGGGGTCTTCAATTCTGCTTTCCTTAGTTTGTATTTACCCTTTTGTTGGGAGCAGAACAATAGTCTACAGAATAATTCCCCCCCCCAACTCTTTTTCCCCCATTTACGACATAAGCCCCCGACAAAAAGCAATTGTACCAAAGCTCAGAATTGGATGTTTTATGAACAACCTTACACAAATGATACAATATGGCAATGAATACGAAGAAAAAGGACGCTACTGCTACAATATCTACAAGACAGTGAAAGTATAATAATTGCATTACATGTATGTTTCATAAGAATCCATACTATTGATTGACTGAAAACAATCGAAAGGCATTCCATATCAATTGTATTTTTCAAAAAAAAACATCGGCATCCATGGCTGCACATGCTTCCATGACAACGTCACGATAATGCAGAGGAAAACAAACGAAAATCTTGAATTTATAGTTGTAGCATATAAATGTTATTATAAGAATTGAATGCCTCTTTTTGTAATTTTTTTTTAATATAAAAGCGTTGACCGAAGTACATTTTGTATGAAGCGCAGAAGATTCGGTCAACGCTTTTACACCCCAATCAAATTACAAAAAGAAGCATTCAATTCTTAAATAAACATATGCGTAAACACAGGTATATGATCCATTAAGTTCTTAGCATCAAACATCAATGAATAACACGTTTCATATCCCTTAAGTTTGTTGAATGTAATTAAATCTGTGTTTTAACATTAAAATATGTTTATCTAAAGGTTTGCATTTTATATGTATATAAACCTATAAGATTGCAAAAGCCACCCTACGAACCCCTTAAAACCCAACCCAAAACAAACAATCAAACGACAGACATGATCAAAAATCGAAAACTCACAGGGACACAAGCGACCAAATATCCCGAAAATAAACCAAATATGTTGCACAAGCAACAAAAATGAATCTATTTAAAACATGGACAAAAAAAACTAACAGTGAATCAAAAAAGGCGAGTTATGCCAGAAGTTCTGGAAGCGTTAGCTTACCGTGATCCTTCTACATTACAGTCATATATATTGTTCGAAGAATTCAATCCAAAACAAGTTGATGGAATTATAGCAGAGAAAAAAAATAGTAGTACAATATCCAAAGCGCAGCTGCTAACTAATGATAGTGTATATGCCGCCCATCATAATGTTATATCAGCATCTTGCGCACTTTAACTTGCTTTTCATATACATTTGTATCAACTAACATAGTATTACTTTAAAACGGTAAAACATGTATTAAATATTGTTTCATTTGCACTAGTATTTTGATGTATTATATTGACCTCGTATACAGTAAATTTGCGAATTTTATTAAGTTATTGGGTGGTATAAAGTGCCTAGAAAATCAACCTAACAATGAGTAGATTTGATTCTTTACTTCCTCCCCGGTTGGGGCTGGAACCTGTACTTTTCACTACTCACTTTTACGCCTAGCATTACTCAGACGCATTATCCCCTCTTCTAACTATAGCTGATAAAAATCAGCTTTCGTTTCGGGAGGTGTTACCTTCTCGTAGGTATTAAACAAGGACGTCTAAACACAAAACACGAAATATTTTTAAGTGTACAGGAATTATCATCTACTCATCTCTTCAGTATAATTACAGGATGATATTCTATTTTTAGAAGCATACAATCACTATGAATTTGTAATTAGATATGTCTGCCTATGATCTACTGCTCTACCAATTTGAAATCTACTTTAAAAACTTTGAAATGTTTGTTTTGGGGGAAAGAAGACATTTTCTCAAGTCTTCTGAAATCCAATACTGCTGGCTGTTTCTAAAATCACTGAACCGTTTCCAGAAGTGTTACCGTATACCTTTCTGTGCTTTGCAACTTCCATGCCCCATCTCGACACCGATTTGTAAGGTAGCACAGTAGTATTTGCATTCCAGAACTTAAGTTGCTCTTTTGTGTACCCTACTTAAGTCAATGTATCTGAACAGTTGCGATTGGACAAAAAATACAGTATCAATTGACTGTGACATACTTTCCCAAACTGAGGGATGAATCCGGTGTAGAAAAATATGAAATAATTTTACATACAGGTGAAAATGAATTTTTGAGAATTTTTTTAAATTTTGTATTCACTGCATGATAAAAGACCTAAAAGCACTAGTGGCCTTAGGTTTTTAAAGATATCAAAAAAAGTAAACGGTCATGATACATATTCAAATTCATTTCTGAATAGTATAAGGAAAGTACTTCAGTTAACTGTTTATGTAGAATTTTTGGCAGTGTTAGAAAGTGGTGAAAATTCTAAAAAGGCTATCATTATCCCTTATTGGCAATGTAATACTACCGTGCCCCCTGTACACATTATCGGTTGCAAGTTTGATAATATAGCGTCTGCATCATTTTACGTCAGACACAAAGCATTTATAAAGTGGTATCTATATTTTTGTGTAAAAATAAAACTAGTAAATGAAAAAACAAATATGAATGACAGTAGCGAATAACATCATGCAACAGTACTCCCAAGAGATCATTGGTCAAGTCTGGACCTGTGAGCAGGACACTGTTTAGACTCCGTTACATTTAGCTGAAGAATAAAACACATCCCTGATCCGATCGGGTTTCTTCAGGTGATAAACACCAAATAATGGTTTTGTTTATCATTTATAATTCAAGAAGAACAATTGTAAGCAAATTTGTGAAACGGATCTTTAAATGTAAATAATTTACTAAAACATCTTGAACTTAATTTGATGTACACCCGATGCATCTTTTTCTTAAAAAAACAAGATTTAAAAAGGGGGTGAGGCCCCTCATGGGGGTGTCCAAGTAATCACATAATAACAATTTTTTTGCCAATATAATCACATAATCATTAACTACTTTTTTAAACATGATAATCAAATAATCAAAAATACAGTCCTAGATTATCAAATAATCATGAAACATTTGGTCTGGTAATCAAATTTTATAATCACTATAAAAACGGCCAAGGCCGACAATGGGTCTTAAACACAGCGAGAAAATCCCGCACCCGGAGCCGGGCTCCAATTGGCCCTTAAACAAAATGTATACTAGTTGATCGAAATGGACGTCACAGTAAACTCCGAAACACATAATTGAACCAAAATAAAAAAAAAATACAAGTCTCACAAAGGCCATAGGTTCCTGACTTGGGACAGGCGCAAAAAATGCGGCGGGGTTGAACATATCATTGTTATTTTGCTTAGATTCTTTTGTTACCTATTCTGATATCGGACTCGGACTTCTTTTAAACTGAGTTTTAATGTGCGTATTGCTGTGTGTTTGTTTATTCTACATTTGCTAGATTCAAAATGACAATGATCAACATAAATTAACAAAAGACTACTAGCAGTTACTGACATGCCAGCTCCAGGCCTCAATTAAACTGATTGAAAGATTATGTCTTCATCATATGAAAATCAAGCACAATCCCTCCCGTTAGGGGTTCAGTATCATACCATCATAAAATATACGAAAATAACATAACCCGTATCATGACAACAACTGGTTTTAGAATAAATGTGTTTATTTCCGATGCAAAGACCCTATGAGTGAATCAATATCAATTCCAAAAAAATGCCATCTTTAATGACCATGTTTACGTGCTAGTGGAGTTTTTAAGTTATATTTTATGTTGTTTTAGGGAAAAGAAGACATTTTGCCACGTCTTCTGAAATCCCGTACTGCTGGCTGTTTCTAAAATCACTGAACCGTTTCCAGAAGTGTTACCGTATCCCTTTCTGTGCTTTGCAATTTCCATGCCCGATCTCGACACCGATTTGTACACATGATCGGCTGCATGTTTTTAAAATAACGTCTGCATCATTTTATGAAACAAAGACATAAAACAAATGTACAGTTAGTTTTCTAGATTTTCGTGTTTTAATGTTTTAATATCTCTCTTTTTGTTTACGATAAGTCTTACATTCCATCTTACGTATCACAATTCTTATATAATTCCAAATTTTCTATTTACTGTTACCGGATATTTTTAACGTAGATTTCAAATTGGTAGAACGCATGAGTTGATTTTTGAAAGTACACCCCCCTATGGTTCTTTCCGCCCAATACCCGGACAATTACGTCAAAACATGTCGTTATGTACTAGGATATAGCTCAAAGATTGAAAATTACAGATAAAGCATGCTGCTCCTAGTTTGATAAATACAGTTCTCCTTAATAATATCTGTTTTGATTGCACTTTTAACAACAACAACAAAAAAACATAACGTAAATAGCCAAAAGACACATCCTTTAACATGTTTGTAGAGACTTAACGTGCATTTGCAATTAATTCAATTTCCAGATATTTACATTTTTCTTTTAACTCCATCGAAAACCAAGACATGACTCATCACATGACATTGCAGACACAGCTTCCTGTATATCGGAGGAACACGTGGCTTGATTGAAAAAACGTTAACACTGGCTCACTGTGGTTTATCGAGATTTTAAAACAAACTTCATAGTTCATTTGACTGCCTTGCTGTTGACACTAAGACATTGTTCATAAACAATGTTAAGTGGCTGCAATTATTCTGTTCATTTTCTATAAAATTGAAATATTTTACTCAAGATTAGTTTTTCATCACTTTAATGAAAATGACACTGGACTGTCTCTTTTATTCATTGATAAAAATCTTGCAAGTAAGATAGTTTAGAAGCAATGCTGCGGGACATAACCGGTTTGTCGAGTCTATGGTTACTGAAATAGATACAATCAAGGTTATCGTGAACTGAACCAGTTATTAGACATTCAATTTGATCACGTGAATGGCTCTTGCGAGTTTACTGAAAATATGAACACAGTTGTAATTTTATTGGAGAAAAGTCCTCAAGATCTGCAATAGACACCTTCGGTGAAAATATGTATGTTTAATAAACAACGTCATGAAATAGAACCATGGTTTAACAAGGAATGTGGTACCAAGAGGAGATAATTACACAAAGCTAAAGTTAATATAGCTCAT